AGCCAGTGTATTTAAGCAGTAGTAATTGTTCGCTTTCGTTCAAGAGATTGTCAGCTTTCTAGTGAGGGAAGGACCCTGCCCCTTCCCCACAGGTACCCCCCATCAGAAAGCCACAATTCATCTCCCAATAGCTGCATTCAAAGTGAGGTGCTCAAGGTTATTCAGACATTCAGCTACAAAGAGCAACTGAACCATTACTTCTGGCAGAGACAGGACACAGCAGCACAAGAAAGAAAAACTGACAGAAGCGATGCTCACTCCATCATATTAATGGCAAGGAAAGCGTTTTAAAAGCATCTAACAATTTGATCAGGCTAGTAGGCGTCAGAAGAAGCAGCCCAACAAGCCTGTTTTGGCATTCTATCATCATTGTGTTGACATCTATGGCAGCATGAAGGAAAAAGCCAATGTGAGATGAAAAAAATAGTATTAACTTTGCAGGATGAGGGCAACGTAACTTGAATATTTACGTACGGTAAGAGTCCAAAGCGACCCCCAAGGCTACAAGTATGGACAGCTGACAAAAAACACAGTTGTCAAGAAGTTACAAATAAAAGTGATAAGCAGCTCAATAAAAGCAGTCTTAATTGACATTTGGCAATTACACCCATAAATAGACATCAGAGACACAGATGAATGGATAGTTATACTGTGGACAGATATTAAAAAAATAAAATCAAAGCTGTGTACATGAGAGCTAGGGGAAAAAAAAAACCTGTCGGAGAGTTAAGATACAAAATTCCGTGCTAGGTTCAACTACGATGAGGGAACTGAACAGCGTGAAACATGGAGCAAGGACACCAGAGGCCAAATTCAAAGGCAGAGCATGAGAAGTCCAAACACTGTTACAGGGAGCACAACTAACCGTGGGGAAGAGAAAAATAAAAATAAGTTTAAAAAAAAACCAAATAAAGAAGGAGGGACAGCTGTTTCACATGATAAAAGATACGAATGATAGTGGGAAAACATTTTCACGTGAGAGCCCAACTTGATAACTCATTCCCAGTCCTACTCATCTCTCAGCAGCTGCATTTACCCAGCTTCCAAGCAAAGAACAAAGCCTAGCTGTGAACTCAGACTTCAGCAGCAAGGTGAGAACGAGGCTTTTTCTTTTTCAGTGGTAATGTAATGCTAATAGCAGTCATCTATAACAACATTAAATGGCATTTCAAAAAATCTTCAAAAAGCACCAGGACCTAGAATGAAGGTGTATTTTTATACTAATCAAAATGCAAATAAAAGGACAAGGGCAGAATATGTAAATATCCTATCTCCTCCAAAAACGTCCTAAATAGCTCTTAGTAAATAACACTTGTCTTAGAAGATGGGAGAAGAGTTCACAGCATCTTGTGCTTTTGGTTTCATTTTCAGGTATTATTCCAAATCCTATCAAAACCTACCAAATTCTTTTTGGAAGGATAATGGCTAGAAAACAGCTGAGTCCCAGCAAGTTTTGCTCTCTGAAAAGTTTATTTGCATGCCTGGGGCTCTGGGGTCACTTAAACGCTGATAACATACTATGTATTGGTTATAGAGTATTTTAATAAACTGACTGATCAACAAAACACTTAGCATCTGCGTGCATGTATCTTTTAAGACTTTTATGCCTGTAAATTCAACTTCTGCTGACTCTTCAGCCACAATTCAGACGTTGGAGATAAACACGTGAGCGCTAAGACCAGTAAATGCACCCAAATCTTCCCAATTACTCTAGTGCAGGACAGGCTAGAAAGGGCACACAAAACCTGAACAGCTGAGCACTCACTCACCTGAGGGTATCAGGGAATCTCTCTCGACAATTCTGGCTGATGCCAAGTCACTGATGATATACTGTAACCTCAAGTGTGTGAACACTGACAGGAACGCATTCCCCTGTTCTGATTCCAGGAACGCAACATCATCCTCAAAATCTGCAAGACAGAGCACCTCTATCAGAATTTGTTTTCCTAAGTATTTTCCAGACCCTATTTATATTTGAGATTGAGTCTTAATGTATTAACTGATAACAACTTATCAGAGAAAGTTATTATGGACAGGCAAATCCTCTTTTGGAGCTAAAATGAAGAAATTACTTACATTCAGATCCTTTCAGCAGAAATGTTGGACCAAACTTTTCCTCTTTTGAAACACACTAGTGCCTTCTAGTGAGAAGGCAACAAAAGCTTATCCTAACTGAACAATAGCAAAAGCAACAAAGCAAAAATAGTGACCATGTCTGCTCACTTGAAAACACGCATACAGAACAGTGAAAAAGCTATGTGCTCACTCGAAAACGTGGACAAAACGGTGAAAAAGCTATCAGTGGTGAGAATCTGATGCTGGGGACTGTTGGCAGAGGCAAGTCTTCCCAGAGAAAATGGGAGAAAGTTTGGAAGTGGAGGAAGACTATTGTATTTTATTGCCTGTCACTACAAGAAAGACATTGTGTTGCTGGAGCATGTCCAGAGGAGAGCCACAAAGCTGGGGAGGGGTCTGGAGCCCCAGGCTGCTGGGGAGCGGCTGGGGGAGCTGGGGGGGTTCAGCCTGGAGCAGAGGAGGCTGAGGGGAGCCCTCATCGCTGCCTACAACTGCCTGAGAGGAGGGGGGAGCCGGGGGGGTCGGGCTCTGCTCCCAGGGAAGGGGCGATGGGACGAGGGGCACCGGCCTCAAGTTGTGCCAGGGCAGGGTGAGGTTGGAAAATCCCTGGAGGTATTTAAAAGAAGGATAGATGAGGTGCTTAGGGACATGGTTTAGTGGTGGGATGGCAGGGTTAGGTTAAAGGTTGGACTTGATGATATTAAAGGGCTTTTCCAACCTAAACCATTCCATGATTCTAGGATTTTACTTCAAACCCCTGTCTTCCCCAACCCAAGGCCATGCCAATTAATCCTACCTTTCCTACGCTTGGCAAACCAGGCATCAGCTTCGGTTAAGAGTTGTTTCAAAGACCCATTCCAAGAAGGCACTAGCTGAAGGAACATCCACTAGGTAAAAGGAACAAACTCTAGTGAGTTAATTGAAGAAGTTTTCAAGTAATACATGCATTATTAAAGGGACATTTGCATCATGCATTCATTCCTACAAAGATTCCGATACTCTATTAAATACTTTCAGTAAATACCAAAAAGGCTACAATTCTCATCATGTTACAAATCAACTACTGCTCAGGAGTCCAACTGCATAAAGCCCCAGCCATAAGTACCTTTTTGAGAGCAGTATACACGTCCATTTCCACCTGCATTACAAGTAGGTTAGAAGAGCTAATCAGCTGTTTCATAAGGTTTATGCTGGGGGGAGAGAAAAAAAAAAAAAAAAAAAAAAAAAGGTGTGAGAGTTCTATGAGGCAATATAGACAAAACCGAGACAGCAAGCTAGGTAACAAGCAACCATCCGTAGCCTGGAAAGTCACTTGTAGCAAGCTATATGCTTATGCTTTGGAAGAAATTGTACTTCACTCAATATTAGCTGAAGCCTCAATACCTGAGTTCTTTGAAGAGTTCAACACTCTGGTGAGTCATCAGGTTATTCAAGAGCCATTCAAGGCACCTGGATAAAAATCAAGGAATTAGTAACTTCATTTTTTTCTGACATATGTCAACATTCCTGCAACAGTTGCTCAGGCTTACAAAGCCCGATTACGTACCACATGATTTTGAAATACTGCTTTAACCCAAGACACGAATGCATAAAAATGTGAAAAAGTTATTTCAGAACCATGAAGTTTCCCCAAATTTTCTGTAACTCTTAAAGTTGCATTTAGTTTTAGCTTCTCTCAGGGTACAGTGAAAGCTAAATTCAAAGTACTATTAATGCCACAAAAAACTCTGAGAACACACTAATTCACAGCAGAAGGAAGCAAGTGAGCGCTAACCTCAGCATTCTGCTCCCAAATGTGTAATTATCCCTACTAATTAAGATAATCTTAAATTCTGAATATTAAAGCAGCTTTGTGATAAACCAGTCAATGATCACAAGCGTTATTTCACTGTCACACTGAAGACCCAAAACATTGTCTTTACCAATATACTTTAGTAATGAATTCATTCACAGCACAGGCCAACCAATCTACTATAATCTACACCAATTTTAAGGTAACTGATTAGAGCAGAAACTCAAAAACTAAATAGGACAAGCAGAGCCCAAGCCAGATAGCTTTAAGAAAAAAAGCCCAAACAAAACACAGCTTGGGCATTATTTTACTCTTTGTATCACACTTTTAATTAGCAATGTACAAAGCAGCTTGGAGAAGGTAATTCTTACTTTTTCTTCACAGAGTCCAACCCGTATGTCCCCGCTGAATTATAATAACCACACACAGTTTTTGCATTAATGGTTTCCGCCATCGTTTCACCACATTGCTGGATTAAGCCATCCTGTGGGGAGGAAAAAAGCCCACAAATATTCAAAGTTTTAATTTCCCAAGAGGAAGTGTCAAAGATCGTGCAGTTCATACAAATGTTCATGCCTGAACAATTACCAAAGTCACACGTGCTACGCTGACCTATGCTATGTTGCCCAGAAAATTTAAACCAACGTTCCTCAGAAGAAACAGATTTTTCTTAAGAATGTATCACATGAAAGAAAAGCTTAACGAATGCCTTCAGGGTAGAACAAAGGAGCTGTTAAAACATATTTTAATCCACTTCTAGATATGATTCTCAAAGCAGCACTTAATATTACAACTGAATCTTAGTCATAGTATTTTTAAACAAAACCACTGCCTTGTGTTTGGGTTTTTTCCCCACTTAGTCTGAAAAGATGATTCATTTCTCTGGGTGAAACAGTACACGCGTGTGAGGATATTAGGAACAGTTATCTTTATCTGAAAAGAAAGCATAAAAAATTTGCATATTTATTACTTACAAGCTGCAGCATGCAGGCTGCTGCTAAAAGCGCAACTACTCGACTGGGTTTTATTAACACATCGTCTCTATACAGCGAGCCAAAAGCCACCTGTAGAGCTGAAAAGAGTACAAGTGTTAAGCAAGGACAGCACGTTGAGCATGGACAACTAAAAGAATCCTTAAATACAACCAAACCACATTCTCTACACTCTTACTGCTTCTAGATAAAAAGTTAGTATTTACCAGCCCAAGCACAGACATAACCAGAAAACATAGAACATGGCATCTACCAATAACATAGAATGCTTCCCACTATTTAAACAGAATACTCATCTTAAAACAGCCACCACAGAGCAATGTGGGGAGCAGTAAAACCAGATAAAAAGAAGCTAAACCTCAATACCCTTCTCTGCAATTGATCACTAGCATAATGTTGAGGTACTGCTACAATGTTACAAATTTCTCCCTAATTCTTCTGAAAAACACTACTTCCTCCCCCCATGGAGCTTGGAACCATAGCAAAACATTCTGCCAACTCACACCGGTCCCCTGCAAGCGCTCCTCGCGACCAAAGAGATGAAGAAGTGATTCACACTCTAACACTTGGGTCTCCACAAGAGTTGCATACGTTGATCTCAAGAGCCCCCATGGCGAAGCAACAGGACAAGTGGTTGCTTTTCAGCTGTGCTTCCCAACTCAGAGGTACAAAAATGTGTTCAGCTCTACTGGTGACTCAAGTTAAGCTCAAAACTGAATGAGCACAGAACCCATTCTCTCAAGTTTCTTATTTACCAGTTTAAAAATTATTCTTAAAAAAAAAAAAAATATATATTTTCAGGGTTTTTTTTGTCAGGTTCAACTTAACCTCTACCTTCAGAGTCTATGTTAAAATAAAAGGTTCCCACTTACCTTCTATATCAATATTTTGGTCAGGAATTTCCAACTCTATGACGCTCATGCTAGATTCTTTCCAAGATCCGCTGAACATACTGGAAAAGTAGCCTGACTACATGAGGGAAGACGAGAGAAAGAGAACTCAGGTGAGAGATTTCATTCCAATTAAAACTGTCAAAAGCAGCACACGGAACAAAAAATCCTTAATATTTACCTTTATGCAGAACAAAATGTATTAAGGGAACTTTTCACAAGCTAAAACGTTCTGACATACTCGAGAAAGGGCTAATTGTAGTTGCTCTACTTCTGAAAGTGAAAAAGCATATAGAAAATTTGGACTACACGTCTGTAATCAAAGTAAGGAGCTTTAAAGGGCCAGAAAAGCCACATAAGCTCTTTTCCTACAAACCACATCACCAATGGGGATATAATTAGTCCAAGAATTAAGTCCTTAATGTTACTGGCAGACAACAAATCCTGCAGGCATTAGGGAATGCCAGTTTAGGTGTCAGGGGAAAAAAAGAAAGGAAAAAAAAAAGCATGCAAGACATACAAATTAATGTACAAGGTTGTAGTCTCATACCAAGGACACATACACATACACCATTTATGTAAATATACCTTTTATTATAAAGTGTAAGGCATATAAAACTAGAATTTGATAGGTTTCCATCCAAATGAAGTGAAATATACTGCTCTACTAGGATTCATGATTTTCCTTCTCAGCAGCAGATGTGCCCATTATGAGATGCTATCACTCACTGAAGTTTACCTGAGAGATCAAAAAAATAAAGTCTATTTGTACAGCACCATATTCCCTGACCCCTTAACTTAGCATTTCAACTCAGGGCAGCAAAGAACATAAAATCCAATTTTGATTTTACTTGATTACGTAAATACTCCTATACCTTTGGCATATCCCCTAACTATGATGACATACAACACACTACTCTCAAAACCAGGACCTTATGCATCTTGCCAGTCCTCACGAGGCTACCTTAGCTTGGCCGTGTAGCTCAACTCTTCATTCTCATGAGAATTTATTTTAGTAAACTGTACCCGAAAAAGCATACCCTCCATTTCTCAGAGCAGCACCTTATGTCATTTATCAAATCAGATGCAGTAACTTGAGAGACCGGGGAAACTGAATCGTTCGGACCGAGATAGTCTGCTCAACACGGCAGAGGAGGAGTCATGATTTCATCGAGAGAGTTATTTTTAACCTCCAAAAATATTTTACCTATAGTAAGGTAATTCCAATGACGGAACACGAATTGACATAGCAACCTGACTTACGAGAACGGTTAACTTCACCACAAAATTTCATCTCACAAGAACATTGCTTGTACAACAAGGCCTCTGCAGAACAAAATCGCAATTTTCAAAGTCTGTTAAAAAGCATCCAGGGAAGTGATTTAATATTCAGAATTTTAGCCATCAACCCACATTAAGTTTTAAGGCCTAGCTTCACGACTTGTGATGTAGCAACAGCAGAATCACAGCGACGATTAAAAACGTCATCGCCAACAAGAGTCTAAGGATGAACCAGCAGCGTGTCCACCCTGTTTACGCTGCCCAACGTAAGTCTGGCTGTCCAACCCACTCATATCCTCCCTTTGTTATACAGAGTGAGAAGCGAGCGGATGATTAAAGCTGTGTCTGCCAGATGTCCTCCCTGGTCAAACACACCCACTGCTCTATCCAGAGATGGCTGCCACCGGTCAACCTTGGGCTATGTACAAACGACTTCCCTGCCCTCGTTTTATGCTCTTTAAAAGGTTCTAATGCATGTAAAAGGCTTTTTCCTACAAGAAAGTAATGAAATTTCCCTCACTGTGGCCAATGCAAGTAATTGGTGTACCTGCACGGAATCATGGCTTTAACACAACAAAAAAAAAAAAAATCAAGAATTCGCTCCTACCATCACTTGTTTCACCAGAGAAACTGCATTCAACCTGTGAGCATCTCACAGAGAAATCTTTGCCTTGGAACGCATAAAACTGCTTTGCGTTTGACTACAGCTAACAGAGAAGCGCACACGTTTTCAGGTATGGTACCTGACGTTACTTTCTCTTCTCGCTTCAAATAAATTGCTTCCACGGTTAGACTCCCACTTTAAAGTTAACGGCACAACTGAATTAGACATTTCAAGACAAAGCCATGGTTCCTCCCCACTTCTGTCACAGGAAAAGTAATAAAGAGAACAGACAGTAAAGATGACAGTACTCTTCACTCCCCAAACACAAAAAGTAACACAAAGAACTTCACCTTAATACAAGCCTAAAATGCTTGTAGAAACAGCATCTTTTTTTGTAGGTACGCACTAAGATTTATTCCTTTTTAGAGCTTCTGTGCATACCTTTCTCGTGCAGCAGCAAGAAAGCCTTCATCCAAGGATGAAGATTTTATTTATTTATCCAAGGATGAAGGCTGCATAACAAATGCAGAGACCCAGCTCCAGCAATTTCACTTCAGGTTCCTGTTCTTGAGTCCCAGTGAACAGTAAAACAGAACTGGGTTAGCACGTGCTTTACAAATCCAGTCTGGAGGCGCTTTCTTTGCCCTGCAATAATATTAACATCCCGGGAGACTCTCAGCCGTTGGTTTAGCAAACAAGAACACCATCTCAGGACACCAAAAGACAATTTTCAGGACTGTTTTCACAAAGGATGGGCCAATGTTAAGATGAGCCGATTAAAAAAATCAAGTAGCGAGAGACGGAAGCGAAGAAACTTCTCAAACACGAAGCTACAGCTACGCTTCCTCACATTATGACCAAAAGCACAGCAAAAATTGTTTAACCGTTTGCATCCACAGAGTGCTAAGTCAGAAATATAAGGGGAAAAAAGAAAATAAAAAAGCTCAAGTCACACTTAACATTTACCAGATATTCTTTTATTAAAAAATACAGTCTCTATTGTGAGTAAGAAAGCCGCTTACCTGACACAAATATATCTTATGCAAGTTCCACTCCTCTCCCAGAGCACAAATTTTGATATCACTGTTCTCCCCATTCAAAAACAGAGTCTGATAAATATACTTGGAAGTACTTTTCAATTTTTTCCTATACAAAAAGGCAAACAGAGACACGTTCCTTCAAATTTTTCTGTCACAGAAGCAACACTGAGCACAAAGCACTGGACAAGGGGGGGGGGGTTGTTTCCCTCCCCCTAAGGGACTGACTGCCCCCACCACCGTTGCCCCCACGACCTCCCCGCTCACTTCTCCTCTCTTCTTTACTGCAGCTGCTGCAGGGACCTTTCCAAA